ACATTTGAAATAGATTTGTACATCGCGAACTGTTGTTAAAATATTTAAACGAGCATAATTACAATTCCTAACAGCACTTCTGCGAAATTAACTAAAGCACCGATAAATTCAGCAAATGAACATGCGGTTCGGGCCGGACAATTACCGATAAAATTAAACTAAAGTAAGCGATCAATTCATGATCCCTTCGTACGAATAAATTGAGCGTGATCTCGCGCATTTGTCGCATTTGATGTAACAATTCGCGTATTGTTTCGACAAACAAGAACATGCTGATTATATGTATTTCGTTCGACATGTGTTCGCGTCATCCGTGTTTTCGCTGCAAATCAGCACGTCATAATTAAAACCCCTAGCTCGGAAATTCAAACAAGAATCAGGTGTTTGCACATTCGTTAGATAAATATTACGTATGTATGTGCAATGTGTACCAGATGCAGCAGGGTAAGCAGAGCTGCACTTGTTGATAAAATATTTAATTTCAAAAATGGATATAAAATTTTAATGAGAATTTAAGCCACAACTCGCAAAAACGAAACAGAAAACTAACTAAACCCACAGACGAGAACGCTTTATTTTAGATACATTCATCATAAAAGTTTAAAATTATAATCTACCATCATTTAGGCGAGCAGAAGTCAACCAGGTGAATTTATTTTAGTGCATATATGATTCTGTACTCTATTACACTTACCATGCTAATTAAAAGGCGAACGACCTAGTGAATGTAGTCATGTATGTAGTAAATTAATGGACTCGTAATGATGATTAATTTTTTAGCTAGCTATAATAATAGTGATTCAGTATCTTCACAAATACACCATCCCTTTAGAGATATTCTCTTACATGCAATCATAAAAGGGTGACATCGTCTTTTATTTAGTAGTTCTGACGAAACGGGCTCGAATCAGGACAGTAATATTGGGCTTATATCAGGTAGAAAATACCACAGATGGCGCGTTAAACGCCATCTGTAGTACGATGCTACATTTTACTTGCTGAAACGAATCCCGGCGTAGCTAACCTCAACGTGATAGACACGTTACCATAATCGAATAAAATAATTCGAAGTGGATTTCGATCTTTTTGGATCTTATCAGTTTTACCTGCTGTCTTAACTGCGCGTTTTAGAAAATACCACAAATGGCGCGGTAAACGCCATCTGTAGTACGATGTGGTTGGTCTGTGTTCTGTCGGAACTGTCTGCGACGCGCTGATGAGATCCAAAAAGATCGAACTCGCGATCCGCGTCTGGCATACAGACCACTTCGAATTATTTGATTCTACTATGTTAGGTACTTTATTATTTATAAGAAAAGATGTCTGAAGGTATTCGTTCTGTATAATGTTATCCCTTCGCGAGAAGAGCGGTAAATAGAAACTCCCCGCGCGCCCTAACAGATTTTAATCCGAATCGTTGTCAATAAAAGTGAACAGCATGCCGTCTTATCGTCACGGAAGAAGGAAGGGAGAAATCCCAACAGAAATGTCTTGAGACTAAAATTACTCGAAAACTCACATAATTCTTCCGATATTCTGGCGCGCTAACTTCAAACTGCTAATCAAATTATCTTGCTTTCCATCTCGCCACTTACCAAGGCGTTTCGGTGTTCGGGGAGAAAACTTTTCGTAACACGCCTCCAAAATACACGAGTGCGGTTGTACCTGCGGATGAAGTCATTCCCATCCTATACACCATGGGGCATGGCGCAGACAGGAGTCATTTAGAAATTCGGGGAATAGGAGACGCGAACACGGGACCGAGTCGCCATTAACCTCCAAAGAATTGCCGCCACCTCAGCAGGTGCCACAAACTTTAAAGAAAGTAATTTGCCACGTTCTTCCTTATCGCGCTAAAAATATAAGGCGAGTCAGGCAACAACAGCAAGTTAACCCCACGAGCGAATTTTTCAAGTTATAACGAAACTTTTTAAGGGACGCTAAAAGCGAAAGTGTTCCATGGTTACTCATAAATATTAATTAACTTAAAAATGTATCTATTAAGGAGGGTTTTAATAAAGTGATTTCAAATTTTAACTAAGCTGCTAAGAAACAAGAACTGAGTAACATTACTGAGAGATTTTGACATTTTTAATTTTTAATAGTGGTTAATATGAAATATTAATGTGAAAATTCATCTTAATTCATTCGATTCTCGAGGAGGGTATGACAACAGCAACAAATTTTCCCTCATTAACCTGAGGTAGTTGGTATAGTGGATAAAAAATCGAAAATGAATTTTCACATTAATATTACTGAGAGATTTCTTCTAGACCAAAAACTCAACGACATACGTAACGTATTCTACCTCTCACACTACAGGAACAAATATGCGACAATGTATGTCACTCGATCACACTTAAAACACTAACCTAAAATTCCTGGACGTAGCGCATACCATATTCTTTGGATTGATTCGCACAGACTATGTCGATGACGTAACGCAATCTTTAAATAATTTTACTCTATATGAATTATACACAGATAAGAAAATTGTTTGGTTCTATGTAGGAACTGAATCCAAGAATTATGCAATCGATTTTGGAAAATTCTTACAGTAATAAAGTCACTGGGACTGAGACTCCTTCGTCATTCAAACCAGTCATTTATCTTACATCTTCAGAGGTGATTTCGCTTGAGCTGAATTTTGACCAATTTTATTAAATTGGAATGTCAAACCGAAAAAATTCAGAAAGAAGATTACAATAGCTGAAAAATAATTCTGTTTAGGCCCTTACTGTAAATGTAATTTAATTGAGTACTTCATGAAGAATTATCTTTGAATTTCTAGTCATGGAAAGTCAAAAATACTCCAAGTAAGGAATTATGAACGTAAGTCAATAATATATTGGCTCTGTTTTACCTTGTAAGTTCCAAGTGAAGCCAACTAACTGCACGAAATTAAATTAAAAACGCCAGTTGATAATAAAATACAAAGAGAATAATAATTAGAATTCGCGCAGATACTTTTTCCATTTACGCGTCCGTTGTTCCGGTAGGTAATATTCCGTAAAACCCGAATCGTTAAAAGGGCAACGTTCGAGAGACGTCTATAAAGTGGTATCAAGGAAATAAAAAAGGATTTAACGGGCACTATTCACAACGGCCGGGCCGCTTGATTTACCATCCCGATCGGATAAAATGGGAAACGTTCTTTTGTGTGCTTCCAGATTGCTACGATCGGACTAAAGAGTCTCTTAATTTAAACGAAGTATAACTTAATACGCCCCCGTTCTCGACAACGAAATAACGAAACAGCTTTTCCGACATAAATACGTCAGATTTTCGAGCCCAACGACTACCGTCCCAATAACGATCGGATTAACGGGGAAAAAAAGAGGGAAATTCTATGAACACGATTATTCTTGTCTTCGCGAAACGCAAATGATTTGAAAGTTTAAGGATTAAATCACGCTTGCTCAAAAACGTTAAGCGCTTTTAAGACGAATAAAGTGGTAGAGAAATAAAAAGCAATAAAAAAATATTTAGATTTTCAATTCGCCCAAAACAAATACACAGCGATGCAAGAGTCCTCCGTTTACGCTTTTGTAATAACGTTAGATAGCACTATGATAATTAAATAGTAATTTACTTATCAATAATTCAATTCAGTCAGTCCTAAGACTGGTTGGACACGTACCTCCACTCTTTCCTATCCTGGGCTAATCTTCGCATTTCCCTAAAACTAGAACAACCCATATCCTTAACTATTTACGAGCAGTTATCTAATCTAGGTCTACCTCTACCCCTCCTAACTCCCGTTTCTGTCTCTAATATATCTCTGACTAGACCTTCATGCCTGAGAAGGTGTTCTACCAACCTATCTCGCCTATTTTTTATTAACGTCCATAGAGTCCTCTGTTCCCCTATTCTATCCAATACCTCTTCATTTCTAACCTTTTCTACCCACGTTATCCTCATCATCCGCCTATAACACCACATTTCGAACGCTTCTATCCTTTTCTTTTCCGCCGCGCCCACTGTCCATGTTTCGCACCCGTACATCGCCGCGTTCTAAACATACACCTTTAACAATTTTTCCGAATTTCTAAATTAACCGTTCCCGAGCATATAAGTGACTTCTTTTTATTAAAGGCGACACGACCCTGCGCTATCCTCTGCTTTATATCCTTACTACTCCTTCCATCCTGACTTATCTGACTTCCTAGGTATCTAAAATCAGTCACTTCTTCTAATTTTTCGTCTCCTATTTTTATATTCGCTCTTTCCCTACTTTTTCTTCCCTTGCATACCAGTAGTTTAGTTTGACTGTTATTTATTTTCATACAGTACTGTTTCGTGAGTATCTATCTAGCTATCTCTAACTCATCCTTGCTAGATGCTAATACTGCTATATCATCTGCAAATCTAAGCATAATTCAATTATGTATATTTATTTATTTAATGGAATCCACCTATCACTAGTAAAACAGAATGAAAAGGGAATTCAGCCCTTTAAACCACAATTATTCTACAAATGAAGTTTCATTTCTAGAAAACAATTCGACGTTTTTAGTTCACTGCCTGAGGCAAACTAAAAACTTTATACCTAGCATTCCAAAAGTTCTGGGAACCTCAATCACGCTTTAGTTATTGAAATAAACCTAGCACTGGAATTTGCACAATAATTTGCAGCATTCCAATTATATATAATATAGGAACGTAAAACGGTTCCTTTATATCGTCGAAATAGAATAGTTAGCGACAATCTCGATCGCCCATAGATTGTTAATAAAATAACTATAAAAAGTCATTGCGAAATAACAAAAAGCGGAAAACTTTCCTTGTTTTTTTTTAACATTTTAAGCGTTATTTTAAAATTACAATACCACTGCGCTTTCAATTATACCATCTGTCAAAGTATTTCTTATTTAAAGGCCTAATAAAAAATATATCCTGCAATTTCTGACTACAATTAGTCTTAAAATATATAAAATTGATTCCCTTGGCATCGTGAAGTGGTTGTTCAGTCAAGGCTCAAGAAAAAAATAAAAACTTACTTGAAGATTCGGAGGGCAGTGGTCGAGCAGCTCCAACATGTGCCTGATGTTCTGGGCATCCTGAATTATGAAGTTCAGCTCCATGTCGAACTCGCCGCCGACGAGCTGAAACAACAAAACGAGTACAACATCAGATTTGAGATTAGCAACATGTAAGAGACTATACCGCGTATGGCAATAGCACATGGCGCCACCTAAACAATAGACATCGTTAATGCGACCGCATCCAACCCTAATAAAACACAAACCCCGGCGTCCGCAACTGCTTGAACTACATACCGCCAAATCAACCTATTTTATATACACGTGAACGAATACACAAACACGTACAAAGGATTGTTAACAGAATAAACCGCCCCAATTAATTAATTGTATTATTTAACCCACAAAATATTTAATTAAAGCGCCTGGGCACTGCATGATAATTTCGGCGACAATGTCTAATGGTTAAAGGTTCATACAAAATCATTCCAGCGGATTTAGAATGTTTATAATTTTGGGCGAAGTTCCTAACGATGTTAGTCACACTGCCTCATGCAGACGGCCACTCGTTAATGCTTATAAAATCTGGTACACTAATCAGGAGCTAGGTTTGGGGGGTTTTTGCCCTCTGGATGGGCGCAGAGTCTTGTTGAAATGCCCATCCTGTTTTTTGGAAAAAGATGTCATTCAGTCATTTGACAACACTTTCAAACAGTCTGTCAACAGTTAGTTGATGTTTTAACACTTTTTTTGCAAAAGTGCAAGTCAGTGACCACGTCATAGAAAACATCCCACCAAACCATAACTTATGTAAGATGGTAAGTGTTTTCAACCCTGGGAACAAGTTCAGTGGCTTCTTTAGATAATATAGCGTAAATCTTATTTTTTTTTTTAATTTTATTCTGGACGGTGAAGCTTCTTTTCTATAGAGATCGTCCACGTATTTCACCAATCACCGTTTTGATTTTCTACCCTGTGTTGTTTAGGTGCTGTCCGGTATAGTTCATGAAGGTCCCAAAATGTTAGTTTTGTTGAACAATACGACTTTCCCGTCATCTTCATCTCGCGGGTCATAATTCTACTACCGCAAATGGATGTGTTCTTAAAGAAAAAAAAAACTTTTGGGTGTTTCATTTCCACCAGCCAGTAATGCTGGTGGGCGGGCAGTCCCTCCGGACTATGCCGGAAGGTAGAGCGGAAGGCCCTCTTCAGCCTGGTTTCAGGAATCGTGGAAATGGGTGGGTGGTGGTTCGGGTGAGAAAGATGAGACGGACGAAATGAAGACAGAAGAGAGTGAAAGATTATCTGTTGAATATTACTGCCTCAGCATTTGCTTAAGTGATCCAAGAAAACCACAGAAAAACTTGGACCAAGGCAGACGGACCCGGAATCGAACCGGCGTCCTCCCGAATGCTAAGCAATGGTCTAGACCTCTAGGCCATGCCGCTCGGTGGATGTGTTCACTGTAGTAACAGTACTTATGTCCCTACTCAAGGAGTAAATAGCAACACCCTTCTACGGCTGATGTGGTCCGATCTGAACCCTATTTCGCCATACCCTATTTAGATCGACACATTAACCGTAGGTCCTGTTGAGCTTGATCTGACCCTAATGGTGACACTATGTCTGAATTCTTCTAGCAAATGTCCTATTTAGATTAATTTACTTTTGATATGAACGCCCTGTTTGAACCTATTAAAACTGATCCCCAAACAAGACAACTTGAGGTCAAACGATAGAACTTAATCAGAGCTAACCAGTGTAGTCCTATCTGGGCCACGTCTGATGGTTGCCCGTTTATATGCCCAAATATTTTAAGATGCTACTTTTCTGTCAAACAAACATAAACAAGAGAATGACTTACTTACTGCTTTGTTTTTACGATAATACTGAATGAAGTAAGACATTATTTCATTTATGAAGTTGCACAAAAATGCCTGAATACAATCGCGAGTGGAAAAACGTCGACAAAAGCTTTTGTTATTAGCCAAAATGTTTCTTTCATGAAGTACCCGTCATCATCTACTGTCTACAATTCAGGCGGTCGAAAAGAAACGGCGATGACGATAAGGCCTTGCGCCAACCAACTCAAAACTCCTACACACGACTCAAGATAAGGGGCAATTAGTCTAAGTAGATGTTGGTGGGTTTTCACGTTCATTTTTTTCATTTTCCTCTTGCGTTTTCAGACCGGCCATTGACCCCGAAAGCAAAGAGAACTTTCAAAGACAATTGGTTCGCGGGTGAAACCCTTTTTTTCGCAAACAAAGGCACACGTAAACGACGCGGATGAGGGTTGTTGTGTAGTGGTATCTCGCGGCTATAAAATTAAAAAATGAGAAGCGTGTACGTACACGAATGCATGTACCTGCACGCAGTAAAAGTTATACTTCCGTTTAGTTTTACGGAGTGTGTGCAATTTTGAAGCCAAAAAGAAGTTCTATTTGGAATTATTTTGTTGATATTAACGATGCAAGGGATAAATGCAAAATTTGCAGCAAAATATTCGCGAAAAGGGCGTACGACCACTGCATTAAAGAATCACCTACAATCATTACACTTCCGCACCGCTTCCGCGTCCACTTCCGCATAAAATATCGATAACGATATTCATCCGTCCAAATATGTCGTAATTAAAATAATAGTGTGACGTAGGCAATAGGCCCTCCCTGTTTTAATATTAATTACACTTCTCATTCACTTTCTCCAATGACAATGCATTTATTTCGGATCTACATCTCCAGCACCATCAAACACCAGATCTGTTAAGTAAAACAGCTGTAGACTAAGTTAAGATCCTCGCACATGACACGCAATGAAACTGCGGTTTATACGTGAAATAGCAATTACGCAGTCCACAGTGCTGTGAGAAATTGGAAGATGAAGTGCGACACGTAAGCTTGTCATCCGCCACTCAAACAATTGAAGTTGCTCTCTCTCTCTCTCTCTCTCTCTCTCTCTCTCTCTCATTCCGGCATTACGCGTTTATTAATATTATAGGTAAGGGAAAGGAAAAGGTTGAGAAGGTCGGACAAACGTGCAGGAAGCGGTGGAGAAGGATGAAGAGACGGTTTGTCTTTAATGCCGACTCCATTAATTACCACCCTAACGCGATATGAGTGCAGCGACGCTTATGAAACGGGAGAGACGCCTAAAAGGGCGGCAGCACCGTCGAAATTAGTTTCACACGCTGATGAAATCAAATAAGAAGAGGGTTGGCAAGTGGCATGTGACAGACAGACTTTCCTACTAAAGCACAGTAGCTCCAAACATTAAAATTTACCTGCAAAAGCTTTTCTGTCGTGCTCTTAAAAACTACGACAAAAGTAGTCTTCGTCAACACTACGTCGGTCGCTGTAACGGAAGCGACCGTTTAAGGGCCCTCGCGAAATTCTAATTAACGTCGGAAGCCGGTAATATTATTATTTATCAAGAGACGATTACTTCCAGACAGCATCTAACCGCTTGCAAATTATTAAGCTTCTCAAATTAAACGGATTTATATTATCTGTTCAAGAGCTTTCGTCTTAATAGAGTGAAATTATTACTGATCTTACTCCTAGAGTTGAAGGATTTTACTTGGGTTATAACTCGAGATGGCTTTTGGAAGAGCGCGGAGTTACGTCGAGAGGCTCCAAGAGACGAGTAGTTTTAACGGCGCCAGGCGTCACGCTTCAGTAAAACGTCGGACATTTAAAAATTAAAAAAATAAGTAGGAATCTAATAAATAAACCATTTTCTGAAGTGAAACTTCTTTTTACACACGGGGTATTACATTTTTTGTGCCACGAAAGAGTTATGGCCGCGTGGAGGGGGTAGACGGTATTACGCGAGGTGTGAGGCGTAAGCGGCGGAGGGAGTGAAAAACTATCGGCGGCGTACGGAGGGCAACGGCTCTATTCGATGGATATTATGCGCAGTCACGCGGAGAGCGGGTAATTCGCTAGAGTCCCGGCGGCGTGTGCTGGGCTCAGCTGTTGTTTTCTTACCTCTGCTCTCCATGTGGCTGAGCATGATTGCCTTTAATTTGCAATAAACCTGTGAAAACGAAATGTGTGCTGGGACACATGGTAGAAGTGAAACTTCAACGAACTAGTGAAAAAACGAATGGCAACGGACAAGTGGGAAAACGAATCGCAACAAAATTTTTACTTGTCCAATTTGAAAACCAGCTCGTAAATCTTGAAGTAAAAATTTTGTCCAATTTTCAAATTTTTCCACTTGTCCGTTGAAGTTTCACTTCTACTATGTGCCCAAGCAGACATTTCGTTTTTTTTTTCAAATGCTAACCTTACAAGAGGCGCTATCAAAAAAATTGTCAGGGGGGAGCTGTAAAAACTCACGTTGGCGCTAATTATAACCAAGGAAAATACATTTAATAACAAGGTAAAAAATGCCTGGCAGATGAATGATAAGTCTCGTCAGTGGTGGTGCGAGCAGTGCCAGTCCTAATTGAGTCTTAAGCAGGACGCCACTGAACTAAATTATACTTTGCAGCAAAAGTGTCTCATATTTTTCGAGCTATCTTAACTTCGGAAGCCGTTTGAAATGGCAATCGTCACAACTGAAGTGGCGATTTCCAATGCGGTCACAAAATCCTCGACAGTCCTAATGAGAATAATAATTTCAACCGTCCACCGTGCTTTAATGTCGAAATTTCCGAACGTCTAATTCGATAAATTAAACAGCTCGCCAACTTCAATCTTCTCCGCGAAAATGTCGTTTGCCATAATTGAACCTGTCCAGGATCGAAATAAATCTAACAGGGAGATAAACTCCTCGATGTAATACTCACAGCAATTTATAGGGAAGCCAACCCCAGATATGTATAATATCACTGTCTACTATTTTAATAACCGCTAGCCACCCTTAAATTTTTAACTAATCAAAGACTTACAAGGAGAAACAGAGGAGTTAAGAGGAATAGAGCAGATGTAGACCTAGATTAGATTACTGTTCACAAATAGTTAAAAATGGCATATTCAGTAAAACATATTCGAAATTGTTAACCTTCACCTTTATCGGCCAGTTCAATTAGTATCTGGCATATCTGAACTTGCGCCTGTACACTGTTTCAGTTTTCGAATTTATAAAGCAGAACCCGTTCTAATATTGCGGCAAAT